AACCTCCCAACCACACCGGGCCAAGTCTCCAGACCACACGGGCTTCAACACTCGAGGCCTCACCTCCAGTCCACAACGGTCTTGCCTTCCTGCAACAGCCTCCAATCCGGGACTTGCCTTTCTGCTCCGGCCTCCAGGCTGTGACTCGCTTCCCTACACTGGGACTCGTTACCCCATGCTGGCCTCCGGTCAGGGAATCGCCTCCATCATTCCCCTCTAAGTTAAGTTTAAAAAGTTAAAAGTTTAAAAACACTCAAGGAAAAAAAAAGAAAAGAGTGGGCAGTTCAGAAGAGCCCTGACTGGGGTGGCCTCCTCTGCTGCCATCTTGTTTCCAATTTTCTTTATACAACCAGACCCCTTTTATCTTTTTAATTGAACGGTACATTACACCTGAAGAAGTGTTATTGGCATCAGTGGTTAGAAATTTAGAAGATAAAAAGTCAATTGTGTTAAAAATTTCAAAAGGTGATTTGCCCATCTGTCCTCCAGAAGGTCAATACTTCAGTTTAGTATGGAAGAATAAGGAAAAGGGAGTATGATGAGCTCATAGAAGCAAGAAGTGATTACATTTGAGATTTAAAAGAAATAGGGAAGGCTGTTGGCATTGGCCTTTATGGTAAGTCTGCCTTTAATGAGATTACAATAAGGTAATGGATGTGAATTTCAAGGTATGAGAAACACAAAACATTGTCATTTTACGTTATGTAGATTTTGCATACAGATTTTTAGTTAGCAATAATACATGATACATTTTAGAAAATAATTGTGGATAAGGCAAATGAAAAATGAGAAGGGACCAGAATTGGACAGCTAGCAAACTTACAGATAATTGGTTGGCAGAGAGTGGATGGGTGGGTTTGTGGTTTGCTAACCATGAATTTAGCAATGTATATGGTAATAGACATGATAGTTATGAATAAATCAGCAGAAAACCATTTTAGTCATGGAGTAAGTGCATGGTTCCATTCACAAATAAATGAAGTAGCTCAATATTTTAGCAGATAAGCAAATTGTAAATCATAAATTGACCACACTACGAATTCATTGCAGATGATTGGAGGATATAGTTTCTATCTGTTAATTTTTGGTAGGAATCCTAAAGTTCCATCACTAATAAGTGATTAGGCTCCAGCTTGGAACAGGGCTGCCTAATTGTTTTTTGGAGCATTCAAATGCACTTTATTGATGTAGAAAGGCTTTCATTAGAGTCAAAGTCTCAGAATTTGGTGACCCTTCGTGATGTAATTTTCTGTAAGTGAAATAACGGCATGGAGGCCAGTATTCCATCACCAAATCACCTTTTATTTACTTGTGCACGTTACCCTGGCTGTGGCCATCCAGCTTGGAGTCAGTCCTCAACTGAGGATATTCTAATTTCCTGGTTATATTGGTCAGCCAAGGCTTTCCTGATAGGGCTTGTTAACTGGGGCGAATCAAGAACCCCATAGTTAATGAAGTCCACCTCATTCCAATCACTACAGTAAGTTTGCTAGATATATATAAGGTCATCAGAAATTGCTTAAATCCGGGTTTATTGTATAAGAGAAATGTGGTAGAGGCAGGTCCAATTTGTGGAATTCAAGAGAGCTTTGGAATGAAATAGTGTGCAAGGTTGTGGGGAGCGGTGGTGGTGGTTGTGGAATGCAGGAGATTGGTGTGATGAAATGCCTGCTTTTTTTTTATTCACAAGTGGGACATAGACTTTGCTGGTTTGGTTAGTGTTTATTCCCTGTCCCCAATTGAGAAGGTGGTGGCGAGCTGCTCTCTTGAACTCCTGCAGTCTATGTGCTGAAGATAGACCCATGATGCTGTTATGGAGGGAATTCCAGGATTCCAGAATTTTCAGGCCAGGGAATTACCTTTTTGCCTTTCTTTTTACCTCTGCATATCCTTCCTCAGCGAATGGACAAAATGTGGATGCGGCACTCATATGAAACATTTTATAACTTTTCTGATGAGAGATCAACCTGGAAGATTAACTCTCATTTTCTGTCTGCACAATTGCTGATCAACTCACCTGATTATTTCTTTAATTTTTTTTGTTCTTGTTTTAGATTTTCAGCAGCCACAGTATTTTGTTTTGGTGTATAATCCAATGCAATTGGTCCAGTGTTCAAAATACATGGTAAATTTGCCAGTTTTTTTTCAAAGAAAGTAGATCGACTCTGAGATAGGGCACATCAAAGCTGTCTGCAGGATAAGAAAAACAATAAATGGGAACAAGAGTAGGATATTTGTCCTGTCAAACCTTTATTTGATAAAATCTTTGCTGAACTGTCCCAGGCCTCAATTACTCTTTCATGGAATCCCTACAGTGTGGAAACAGGCCCTTCGGCCCAAGAAGTCCACGCCGACCCTCAGACATCCCACCCAAACCCATCCCATCTACACATTCCTGAACACTATGGGCAACTTAGCACAGCTAATCCACGTAGCCTGTACATCTTTGGACTGTGGGAGGAAAGTAACGCAGACTTGGGGAGAACGTGCAAACTTCATACAGACAGTCAGCCGAGGGTGGAATTGAACCTGGGTTTCTGGCTTTGCGAGGCAGCAGTGCTAACCACTGAGCCACCTTGCTGTCCCAAACTGTGCTGGTTCTGCACAGCCCTCAAATTCTCAACATTTCAAAAATCTATCTACATCCTCTTTGAAATACTCCCAATAATCTAGCCTTCCAACTCTCCCTGGGATAAAGAAATTCACGCATTCGCTGCCATGTAGGAGAAAAAATTCCTCCACATTTCAGTTTTAAATGAGTGTCCCCTAGATCAAGATATCCCCATGAGTGGAATCATATTTTCTTTTCCAACATCTATTCAGTCAAGCCTCCTCAGAATCTTGTATGTTTCAATAAGAGTATCTCTCATTCTTCTAAATTCTAATGAATAAGGGCCTAACTTGTTTATCTGTTCTTGATAACTCAATACTTTTCCCAGGGATTAGTTTCATGGATCACTTTTCGACAGCCTGCAGTGCATCCTTTCTTAAGTTTGAGAACCAAAACTGTACACAGTCCTCCTGGAGAGGTGATGGCCGAATGGTATTATTGCTGGACTGTTAATCCAGAGACCCAACTAATGTTTTGGGGACCTAGGTTCGAATCCTGCCATGGCAGATGGTGGAATTTGAATTCAATCAATATCTCGAATTAAGAATCTCATGATGACTGTGAATCCATTGTCGATTGTTGGGAAAAACCCATCTGGTTCACTAACGTCCTTTAAGGAAGGAAACTGCCTTCAATACCTGGTCTGGCCTACATGTGACTCCAGACCCACAGCACTGTGGTTGACTCTCAACTGCCCTCAGGGAAATTAAAGATGGGCAATAAATGCTAGCCTAGCCACCAATGCCCTCATCCTGTGAATGAATAAAGAAAACAAGTGTGGCTTCACTAAGATCATGTACAGTTATAGCAAAACTTACTTATTTTTATGGGCTGAGGTAAGAGTGCATTATGCTGTTCAAAATAGGCAGTCTCAGTGATGGAGAGGATATGGAGTTGCAAGCCAAACCTGGGTTTAAAAACATGACAAAGACTTCCTTCATCTGAAGGAATGATGGGGGAGGTGGGTGAAATTAGTAGTAACTTAGAGATGGTCAAAGATTAAAAATAATTCCTTTTTGGTCTTCCCATTGTTCACCTAGATTGACTAGATTGACAGGATGCAGAGTTGGGCAAAGAAGTGGCAGATGGAATTCAACCCAGAAAAGTGTGAAGTGATTCATTTTGGAAGGTCAAATTTGAATGCAGAAAGCAAGGTTAATGGCAGGATTCTTGGCAGTGTGGAGGAACAGAGGGATCTTGGAGTCCACGTCCACAGATCCCTCAAAGTTGCTACCCAAGTTGATAGGGTTGTTAAGAAGGTATATGGTGTGTTGGCTTTCATTGGCAGGGGAATTGAGTTTAAGAGCCATGAGGTTATGCTGCAGCTGTATAAAACCTAGTTAGACCACACTTGGAATATTGTGTTCAGTTCTGGTCACCTCATTATAGGAAAGATGTGGAAGCTTTAGAGAGGGTGCAGAGGAGATTTACCAGGATGCTGCCTGGACTGGAGGGCAGGTCTTATGAGGAAAGGTTGAGGGAGCTAGGGCTTTTCTCTTTGGAGCAAAGAAGGATGAGAGGTGACTTGATAGAGGTGTACAAGATGATGAGAGACATAGATAGAGTGGATAGCCAGAGACTTATTCCCAGGGCAGAAATGAGTATTACATGGGGCATAATTTTAAGGTGACTGGAGGAAGGTATAGGGGAGATGTCAGAATTAAGCTCTTTACACAGAGAGTGGTGGGTGCGTGGAATTCGCTGCCGATGGTGGTAGTGGTGTCAGATACATTAGAGACATTTAAGCGACTCTTAGATAGGCACGTGGATGATAGTAAAATGTGGGGTATGCAGGGTAGTTTGATCTTAGAGTAGGATAATAGGTTGGCACAACTTCATGGGCTAAAGGGCCTGTACTGTGCTGTACTGTTCTGTGTTCTGTGTTCTATATACTGGAAGCGGTATAATTAGAATGCAATTATTTTCTAATATTGGTTTTATAGAAATAATGGTTAAAAGGTCATTGTCTAATGCTTTTCAGTCATAGTACAACAAGGACTGGAAAGTGGAAAACCCTTCAGGTTGAATACCTGAGAAGGGATGTACATCGTGAACATAAAGAAGCTTCAGAATGGAACAGGGTCCAGGGAAAAATGTTTCTATTGCATTTTCTGTAATTTGTAATGTGAAATATTTTTTCCCTGGACTGGTGCCTGACATGGGATATATATTGTAGATATTAACTATCACAATCGTTTTGAGACACCTAAAAATGGATTAAAATGGTTAAAGAGATATTAGGAACTGCAGATGCTGGAGAAATGGTTAAATTTTGTTATACCTTCTATTATTTCAGTTGAGATGTTTTCCAATGTTTTTATAAATTTTATAAATAGATTATATTTATGGGGAAATTGTTTTTGACAATTTTTATGTGTTATCATTTCAGGTAGCAGTGGGGTTTCAGAGTGGAGGTCGATTCTGCATTGTAACTAGATGATGTCAGAACACAATTTGACTGATGTGGTTCAAATTGCAGTTGATGACCTAACACAAGATCAAGCAGGTAAGCTGTAGGATAGTATCTCTGTAAACCAGACAGGTGAAAACTAATCTTTGAGAGTTTAAATGTTTTGAGCATGAAATTACCTTTTCATAGACAGTGCTCCTGATTATTCACTGTGATCTCAAAGAATATTAAATAATGCTGGAATGGAAGTGTAGCCTAACATCTGAATAACCTAAAGACGTTAAACTTTATTGAAAAAAGTCAATTATCACAGTATTCAAAAAATTGTTGTCACTTTGCATATACTGTCAAATGTTAGGTGCATTTTTTTTTTGAAGCTATGATGCTTGAAACAAATTTATAAACATCTATTTGAACAACACGTAGATCTGCAGAAATTAAGCAAGTTGACCAGATGTGTAAATTAAAGATTCCCTTGCAACTTGGGGTCAAATTCTTGTTCTTGATTCAACTGCGTGGTATTCTGGATTACCTAAAATTAAGACAGCTGTATTTTTTTTACAATATGATTTTCAACTTTGATTTTTTTTCTTGATCCAGTTTCCTGACAATAATACAATGTATTGATAATTTGTGTAGGTTTTAATATATTATTACTGTATTGTTTTTTTTCTAATTTTAACATGTGGCTGTAATTCCATTTCTTATCCCTATTTAGGCACATAAGCCGGCCATTTGTCATTTTGTGATCATGCTGGCATCCTGCAATAGCAACAAAGCTAATCTTACTCCGTCTGGTGCAAATCTTTTCTTCTTGAAATAATCATCTATTCTTTTGAAAGCTGTGTTTGAATCTGCCTTCACTTTTTTTTTCAAATGGTGCATTACAGATCCTAACCATATATGTCTGCAAAAATCTTTTTCCTCATTTTGTTAGGATCTGACCTGGATTTATTACTGAACAACTCAGATCCCAAGACGAAATCTGGCTTGAAGTTTTTTTTTATATTTTAGATGAGATAGCCCTTCTCTGAAACATAGACACACAATGCTGTAGATTCAAGTTTAACATAAAACAGAAGTTTATTGTGCAAAGGAAATGAGGATTAAATAGAATAAACCAAGGTATTTACATATGATGCAAGTTTCAAGATTTTGAAACATATAATAAAATACAACCCTCTTAATCTCAACAACACTTCCTTACAATACTGACACTGGAGACAATTTCCTTCTCTTTCACATCTGTAGGGCATAATTTGACTTTGGCTTCAGTTCATCTTGAGAATGTGATCACCACTTTCTTGATTCGTCCTATAACTGAGCTTGGATCTTCTCACTTTCATATAAACAACCCCTCCAAGATTTTAACCAAATACTTCTGGTCTGAAACTTTTAAACTAAACTTCTTCCACAAGGTAACTTCTTGAACCTTTCTCAGGGTCAACTATTTTACACATTCAGCTTCAATTGAGCCTTCTACAAAACTACCCCAAACTCGAACTGAAAAGCTTTCTTTTCTAAACTGAGTGTTTTCCTTCAAGCTTCCCCAAAGTTTCCAGAATCTTCAATCTGAAAGCCTACACCACACTATACTTTTTCCCATTGGTAGATTTTATTGCCTGACAACTATTGGAAATTGATTTAAAGTGAAAACTCAGTTGTTATATATTTTCCAAACTCAGCTTGTAGACTTATTCAGATTAGCTAAGTAGGTGAAATAGTCTAAATAAATGAAGTAGTTACCTGATTTTAGCTGTAGGAATTCAAGCACTTGAATTTCTTTGTCTAAATGAGGTATTGATGAGAGTAGTTAAACAGGTTTTCTGAGCAGGCCTTTATAAGGAAGAGAAAATGCTGTGTTAGTTGGGAGCACAGTTAGTTTGGATCTCAGCAAAGTGAGATGAAGGCTGAATGAATGAAGGAACGAACGAACGAACATGTGATTCAAAGTGGGACTTTGGTACTAAGCAGGCAGAGATGCTTGAACCAGGGTTTACTACAACAGGAGGTATTGTATTGTGGTAAACAAATAAATGCAGGACTTATACAGTTAACAGTAGAGCCATGAGTGGTGGTCTTGAAGAGAGAGCCTTATGCATTCAGGTACATAGTTCTTTGAAAATTGTCTCATAGGTAGACAGGGTGATTAAGAAGGCATTCCGCACTCGTGCCATCACTGCTCAGATCATTGAGTATAGGAGGTGGGACATCATGTTGAGATTGTTCAGAATGTTGATGAGGCAACATTTGGAGTACTATATACAGTTCTGGTTGCCCTGCTGTAGGAAGGATATTATTAAATTGGAGAGGCTTCATAAAAGATTTACCAGGATGTTGCCAGGAAAGTTTGAGTTATAAGGAGAGGCTGGATCAGCTGGGACTTTTTCTGTTGGAGCGTAGAGGTTGAAGGGTGGACCTTTTATAGACTTTATAAAATCATGAGGAGCATAGATAGTGAACAGCAAAAGTTCTTTTCCCTAGAGTGGGGAGTTCAAAACTAGGAGGCATATTTTTAAAGGAACCTGAGGAGGAACTTTTTCACACAGAGGATAGTTTGTATGTGGAATGAACTGCTAGAGGAAGTGGTAGATGCAGGTGCAGCTACAACATTTAAAAGACATTTTGACAGGTACATGAATAGGAGAGGCTTAGTGATATAGGCCAAATGCAGGCAAATGGGGCTAGTATAGTTTGGGGAACTTGGTCGGAGTGGATTAGTTGGATCGAAGGTTCTGTTTCCGTGCTGTATGACTGTATAGGTAAACTCTCCCGAGCAAGAGGTAGGTGGGAGAGGACAAAAGGCTTGGATTGAGAGACCGACTTGAGGTGATAATGAGCTGTGGAGTGATGTCACACATCATAGTATGAGATGAGTGCAGGGAAGGGAGTTGATCGGTATGTAGGATTGGTGTGTATTTCTCGTCATTAAAGTAAAAGCCAGGTTATCAGTTTTTGTTTGGGTGTTCAGTGTTTTCTTCTCTTTGTTTCTTAAAAATAACTGCTTAAGTATTAAATCGATACTGATGATATTTTTCTCTTGTTTTATAACTATGAGTTCAGTGAAGTGTAAAGGGCAGGGAATCTCAGTTAAATTAAATCAAATATGATACTGATTGCAGGACGAATGATGTGTTACTATTACAACCTGTGGAAGCTGGTGAATGCAGATATGTTAGCACCTTGAACCAAGTTGGGTTGCAGTCTAAGCTGCAGACGTTGTGCCACATCAAGGAAGGGGAAAGTTACCATGGACACTTGGCTCCAGAGTGCAATCGCACCCTTCAGATTAGGTCATTTAAAATTGGTCTGTGATTAGGAACAAGAGAATGTCAGTACATGTGAGGCAGGTATGAGGACATAGGTGTTAAAATTATGGAACTTTGGGCCCTGAAGTGTCTGACAGTTACAAGGTCCTTGTAAGCTCTGGCCGTGAGGGAGGAATTGTACTATTGTACTAAGTTTAAATAATGGCATTTATGAGAGTGAAGGCAGAGGTGGCTGGAGTGGACTGAGGAAGATGTTAGCAATAAAGATGGTTGATGAAAAATGGTGGGTGTTTTAAGAAAATAGTTCATGGCTCACAGCATAGACAAACTCCAGTGAGGAAGGATTCTAGGAAGAAGATAGCCAATCATGGTTAACCAGGGAAGATAACGATAGCGTCAGATTGAAAGAAAAAACATACAATGTGGCAAAGTTTTTAAGAACTGACAAAAAAAACCGCAAAAGAGGGAGAAGATCAACTTTGTTGGTAAACTTACAAGTGATATTAACACAGCCAACAAGATCTTTCTTTAAATATATAAAAAGAGAGAAGTCTTGGAGAATGAAGCTGGTGAAATAATAGTTGGGAATGAGGAAATGACAGGAGTTGAGTAAATACTTTGCATCAGCCTTCATTGTAGAAAAGACCAATAGCTTGTCAAAATTAATAAATCTTCAAGAGGCAAAATGAGGAGAGGAATTAAATACAATAACTATCACTAAAGGAAAAAGTGCTAGGGAAACGAATGGGGCTGAAGATCGATATGTCCCCTGGATCTGATAGAATGGATTTGTTGGACTCTCATTAGAAAATATGAACTCACAGTTCATAATAATTCCAAATATTATTGTTGGCAAGTTTTGAAATCGTGCCCTGCATAAAGAAAAGTAGTACTAAGGACCAACCTGGTGAACCCTTCTATATACCTTCCTTCAGGATGCAAAACAGCTGTGCTTATCCAAATGACTTAATTTTGTTCCAAGTTATCATTTTAATAGCCTTCCCACTCATGAAATTAAACTGACTGACAGTTACTAGACTTATCTTTGTGCCCTTTTTGAACATTTGTCGTTCTACATGCATGTATATCTTAAACCCTCGGAATCTTATCCAGTAACTTACCTACCACAGAGATAAGCTTGCTGGTCTATAATTACCAGGTTTTTCTTTGCAGCCCGACATGAATAAGGGCACAACATTCACAACCTCCAGTCTTCTGGGACCTCAGCTGTGGCTAATGATGATGCAAATATATCAGCCAATGCCCCCACAATTTCTTCTCTACCCTCTTGCAGGGTTCTTGGATATATCTGATCAGGACCAGAAGATTTATCCACCTTCATACATTCTAATACTTCCAACACCATCTCTACTGTGATATGGACTGTCCCCAAGATATCGCCACTAACCTCCCCAAGTTCCCATGTCTTTCTCCATGGTAAATGTAGGAAAAATATTCATTGAGGACCTCGCCCATCTCCTGAGGTTCTACACATACATATCTAGTTTGGTTCTTGAGGGGTCCTGTTCCGTCTCTAGTTATTCTTTTTCCTTTAATATACTTAAAGAATCTCTTTGGATTCACCCTAATCTTCTCAGCCAAAACTATCTTGTGCCCCCTTTTTACCCTCCTGTAAAAACCGGTATCCCCTATATACCTCCAGGGATTCCCTTCATCCCAGCTGCCTGTTCCTGAGCCATGCCTGCTTCTTTTTTCTGGTCAAAGCCTCAATATCTCTTGTCATTCAGGGTTCCCTACTGCTGCCAAACTTGCCCTTCAGTCTGTTCCTCAGAGAATGTGCCTTGACTGTATCTGAACCATCTGCCA